CTTCCCTCTTGCTCCCCATCCTTCCTTTTCTACCACTCTCTAAAAATCAGTGGAAAAAATATCCTCGGGTGAAGATTAATAACAGCAACAACAAAAGAAACATTAGCCAGATCTTGTTGCTTTTCATTGCATGAAGAATAAAGTCCATAGTTTATATCATGACTTATGAGGCCTTATATTTATTCATGATCTGGTAGTTTTCACACTGTCTCTGCAACTGTATTTCCTACTACTTTGCTCTCTTTGCCATATCGTAGCCACCCTGTCCTTCTCTCCATTCCTTGAACATGGTAAATTCATTTCTGCCTCACTGACTTGGCACTGTCTCAGGCTAGAACACTTTCCTCCAGACCTTCTTGTCTAGAGGCTGATGCTTCCTAGAATGGTTTTTACTAACATACTGTTTGTTTTCGTAGCATTTCTCACTCTGTCACTATCTTGCTTTTTTATTTACTTTATTTTTCTTAGTTGTTGATATGGCCCCAGTGTGAAATCCAGTCCTGGCACATAGAAGGCATTCTGAATATATGTTTATGCACTGTGTGAGTGTATTCTCTGAAGCCAGAGAGGTGCATTACAGTCATTCGGCAGGGATTCACCAAGCCCCTACTTTAGGTCAGGTATTATACTAGATCCTAGGGATACAAAGTCATAAATGACATGGACCCTTCCCTGTTTAGTCTTTGGGAGTCTGATTCTGAACATCCTTGAAAAGGAACCCTATCTCCTTTAACAAAACAAAATCCAGCATCTCCAGGCATGAAAGGGATGGCTGAACTCTGACTCCTGGACAACTTTTTTTTTTTAATATATTTTCTTTACTAGTTTTTAGAGAGAGATGAAGGGAGAAGGAGAGAGAGATAGAAACACCAATGAGATAGAACATCGATTGGCCACCTTCTGCATGCCCTCCACCAGGGATTGGGCCCACAACCTGGGCATGTGCCCTGACCAGGAATCGAACCGGTGACCTCTTGGTGCATGGGTCGATGCTCAACCACTGAGCCACACCAGCTGCGCTTAAATATGCTTTTATTGATATTTTGAGAGAGAGAGATAGAAACAGCAATGTGAGAGAGAAACATTGATCACTTGCCTCCTGCACACCCCCCACTGGAGATTGAGCCTGTAACCCAGGCATGTACCCTTACCGGGGATCTAACCGGGACCTCTCAGTCCATGGGATAATGCTCAAGCCACTGAGCCACATTGGCCAGTAAATATTCTAGTCTTTTAATAAATAAACCCCGCCCTGCTGGTGTGGCTCACTGGTTGAGAGTCAACCCATGCACCAAGAGGTCGCTGGTTCAATTCCTGGTCAGGGTACATGCCCCAGGTTGTGGGCCAAATACCCACTGGGGGGCTTGCAGGAAGCAGCCAATTGATGTTCTTTTTTATTGATGATTCTGTCTCTCCCTCTCCTCTAAAATCAATAAAGAAAAAAATATTTTAAAAATATATATATAATTTTCTACCCAATTCTGTGTGTACCATTATACCAATGTAAATTTAAATCATTAGAATGCTATTGATCTTCTAGTGGAACAAATTTGAAGGTTGCTTTATTTTATTTATTTATTTTTTTAATGATTTTCTGTACTCTTCATCATCAGGTTTGTTTGTTTTTTTTTTATCCTCACCCGAGGACAGTTTTGGATATTTTGTTCAGATAGAGTGGAAGGGGGAGAGAGAGAGAGAGAGAGAGAGAAACATCGATGTGAAAGGGACACATTGAGTAGTTGCCACCTGCACAGCCCAACCAGGGCCGGGGACAAACTGCAACTGAGGTACGTGCCCTTAGCGGGAACTGAATCCGGATCTCTCGGGACCGCAGGCCGACACTCTAACCGCTGAGCCAAACCGGCCAGGGCTGTGTTTTTTTGTTTTTTTTTTATCCTCACCGGAGGACATTTTCCCATTCTTTGTTCAGATATAGCGGGAGGGAGAGAGAGGAGGAGAGAGAGAGAAACATCAACATAAAAGGGACACATTGAGTGGTCACCACCCACACGACCCAACCAAAGCCGGGGACAAACTGCAGCCGAGGTACATGCCCTTAGCAGGAACCAAACCCGGGTCTCTCTGGACCATAGGCCGACACTCTTACTGCTGAGCCAAACCAGCCAGGGCTCATCGTCAGGTTTTTATTTTTTTATTTTTATCTTCACCCAAGGACATTTTTGCATTTATCTTCAGACAGAGCGGGAGGGAGAGAGGGAGGAAGAGAGAGAGAGAAACATCGACATGAGAGAGACACATTGAGTAGTTGCCACCCACACGACCCCAGCTGGGGCTGGGGACAAACTGCAACCAAGGTACGTGCCCTTAGCAGGAACCGAACCTGGGATTCTCTGATCCTCGGGCCGACGCTCTTACCGCTGAGCCAAACCAGCCAGGGTGAATGTTGCTTTATTTTTTATTTGTATTAAAAAAATTTGTTTTCTTTATTGGTTTTAGAGAGAGAGGAAGGAAAAGGGAGAGAGAGATAGAAACATCGATGAGAGAGAACATTGATTGTCTGCCTCCTGCATGCCCCAGGTGGACCCAGTCCACAACCTGGGCATGTGCCCTGACTAGGAATCGAACCAGCGACCTCTTGGTGCATGGGTCGACTTTCAACCACTGAGCCACACTGGCTGGGCTACTTTATTTTTTATTTTTATTGTTGAAAGTATTACAGATGTCCCCCCATTGACACCTTCCTCCCCGGTCTCACCCTCCTCTTTCTTTCCCCAGTCTAATGTCCATTGGTTGTGTAGTTGCTTTATTCTTATTTTTTTATTAAAAAAAAACATTTTTTTTATTGATTTTAGAGAGGGAGGGGGAAGGAAAGAGAAATAGAAACATCGATGAAAGAACATTGATTGGCCACCTCCTGCATGTCCCCCACTGGCGATTTGGCCCATAATCTGGGCACGTGCCCTGACCAGGAATTGAACCGGCAGCGACTTCTTGGTGCACGAGTCTATGCTCAACCACTGAGCCACACTAGCCGGGCAAGTTTGCTTAATTTTTAATTCCACAGAAAATGTTCCACAAATAATAAGATACAGAATGTATTATTATAATAATTTTTTTAAAAGAACAGTGAGAAAATGATTCCCTTTTCAAATCTTTCAATCCTTTCAGTTCTGCCAGGGAAGAAGTCTCAGTTGGGTGGTACCCTGTCTTAACACCTCTCTTCCCAGTTGCTGCTCTCTTACTCTTTTTAGGAAGAGCTCCAAGCCATTGGTGCCAGTATCTGGCTAGAATTCTTTCATTTTTATTGCTATCTATTTAAGTTTGTGATCTAAAGATTTCCTTTTAAAAGAATTTATTTGGGCCTGGCCAGGGTTGCTCAGTGGTTGAGCATTGACCCATGCACCAAGAGGTTGCCGGTTTGATTCTGGGTCAGGGCACATACCCAGGTTGGGGGCTAAATCCCCAGTCGGGGTGCATGCAGGAGGTGGCCAATCAATGTTCTCTCTCATTGATGTTTCCATCTTTCTCTCCTTCATTCCTCTCTCTCTCAAAATCAATAAAGATTAAATTAAAAGAATTTGCTTGGGCCCTGGCCGGTTTAGCTCAGCGGTTAGAGCTTCAGCCTGTGGTCCAGAGAGACCCGGGTTTGATTCCCGCTAAGGGCATGTACCTCAGTTGCAGTTTGTCCCCGGCCCTGGTTGGGTTGTGCGGGTGGCAACCACTCGATGTGTCCCTTTCACATCGAAGTTTCTCTCTTTCTCCCTCCCACTCTATCTGAACAAAAAATGAAAAAATGTCCTCGGGTAAGGATTTAAAAAAAAAAAAAAATTTGCTTGGTCCTGGCCAGTTTTGGTCAGTGGTTAGTGCGTCAGACTACAGACCGAAGAATCTCGGGTTTGATTCCTGGTAAAGGGCACGTATCTCGGTTACAGGTCAGATCCCTTGCCCTTGTCATGATCGTGCAGGAGGCAACCAATCAATGTGTCTCTCTCACATCGATGTTTCTCTCTCTCTCTCTCTCTTTCTCTCCCTTCTTCCCTCCCACTCTATATAAAAATCAATGGAAAAATATCCTCAGGTGAGGAGTTTTAAAAAATTTACTGTACAGCATAGTAACTGTAGTTAACAACTCTGTATTATCTATTTGAAAGTTGCTAAGAGAATAGATTGAAAAGTTTTCATAACAAGAAAAAATGTAACTGTGGTGACGGATGTTAACTAGACTTATTGTGATCATTTTGCAATATATACAAATATTGGGTCATTGTACACCTGAAATTAATATAATGTTATATGTCAATAATACCTCAGTTTAAAAAAAAAAAATTTTTTTTTAAGCCTCACTCAAGGATATTTTTCCATTTATTTTCAGAAAGAATGAGAGGGAGGGGTAGAGAGAAAGAAACACCAATGTGAGAGAGACACATCGATTGGTTGCCTCCCACACAACTCCGGCCGGGGCTGGGGTTGAACCGCAATCAAGGTACATACCTTTGACTGGAATCAAACCCACAACTCTGGTCCATGGGCCAACACTCAGAACTGGCCAGGGCTCAGTTAAAAAATTTTTTTAGCAATTTATTTAGTAAATAAAGTTGACTTACATAAAATTATAAAGCAAGACCCAGCTGGTATGGCTCAGTTTGTTGAGCATCATCCTATATACCAGTAGTTCACTGGTTTGATTCCCCATCAGGGCACATGCCCGGGTTGCCAGCTTGACCGCCAATAGGGGGTGTGCAGGAGGCAGCCGATCAATGTTTCTCTCTCATTGATGTTTCTATCTCTTTTCCTCACCCTTCCTCTCTCTGAAATCGGTAAAGACATTTTTTAAAAAACTTTAAATTATAAAGTAAATAATACTCTAGATGGCGTAATAATATAACATGAGTCATGAAAGCAGTAGGGAAGAGTGACTGAGGTTTGCTAAGATAACAGTATGGCATTCCATTACTCAGAGCCTGCATTTGAGGTAGGGGTCAAAGACAGTGCTATTGAAGCAGATTTTTAACTTAGAGATTTTTTATTTTCCTCTCTAGTGGAGCACATGATCCAGAAGAACCAATGTCTCTTCACCAACACCCAGTGTAAGGTTTGCTGCGCCTTGCTCATTTCAGAATCTCAGAAGCTGGCACACTACCAGGTATGCCATAGTACCTATAGAATTGCTTTACTTTCCAGACCCATATCCAAGCCCCCACTGCTCTCTGGCTTGCACAGTGAAGTGTAATTCCTTTTTAGCCACCTAGACGTTGCCTCCATGTTGACTGTAACTTGAAGACTGACTTAATTTTTCCGAGTCCCACTTCTCCCATCTAAATCTTATAGCTTATATAGTAGAAAATATGCATTTTGGCTTTAAATGGACCAGAGTTTGACTCACAACTCTGCTGCTCCTCTTGGGCAAGAATCCTCACCATCTTCAGCCTCTAGTTCCTCATCTGTAAGATAGAGATGGTGATAATTTTCTCATAGCTTGTTGTGAAGATTAGATTTGACAGCATGTAAAGTGCCTTTCTTTAACAGAGTAGGAACTCAATAAACTAGGTTTCTTCCCACACCCTCTCCTGCTCAAAAGTTTTGTGAGAATGAATCAAGTGAAAATCTAGTAAGTGTTTTTGAGTTCCTTAGATATAAAATGGCATTTCACTATCTTTCATCTTTTTCATGGGTTCTTGCAGAGCAAAAAACATGCCAACAAAGTGAAGAGATACCTAGCAATCCATGGAATGGAGACATTAAAGGGGGAAACGAAGAAGCTAGATTCAGATCAGGTAATCCAGCTGTCATGTTGATACTGCTTGCTTCCTGATTAAGCCAGCAGGCAGGTTGGTTTGGTAAAAAGAGCTTTGAGTTAGACTGACTTGGCTTCAAATTCCAGCTCTGTCTTGTGACTTGGGCAAGTCTTATTACTTCCCTGAGCCTTGATTTCTTCCTCTATAAAAATGAGGATGCTAATATCAACTACATTTTAGGATTTTCCAATCTAAAATGAGGGAAGGAAAAAGCACCCAACACAGAGCCTGGCACAGAGTAGGAGCCCAGTAAATTGAGCCATTGCTATGCATTAACCACCCAGTGGTTTGATGGAATAGAATAAGAAGCTGCTAAATTCACTACTCAAGTAAACAAAATAGAAGGAAGCCAGGCTGCTTGCTTTCTTAAGATCAGGGTAAAGAGCTGAGTTCAGCACTTGAATGTTTTGAATAAATAAGTGGTAGGAACACTTTTCCAGATGCCTGCTCTGACAGAGATATAAACACATTTGTTTTTTGGCTTACAAATACTGTGGGAATTATACTGAAACAACCTCAGTCCCTCAGGGGTACCATAACGTTTGTTCCATAGGAGGCTGTGCAAGCATCATGGGATAAGAAGTCAGTAGACTAGGGCCCAGTATTAGTTCTGCAGCTTACTGGTTGGATGCTTTGGGTAAATCACTTAACCTCTGTATACTGCACCCATAAAATAGAGAGAGTAATTTCTACCTCTTAAGGGTATCTTGAGGTAAAATTTCAATTCCTAGTGGATACTCAATGAGTATACAAATTGTGCCTCCTATTATAGTGACCACGGGTTTGGAAGGGCCATGCTCATTCCTTCTCCAATTCACTAGGCTGATCCCCTATTTACCCTTCTTATGATTTAGAATGCAGAAAATCAGGATATAACCAATGTCACCCCAGTAAATTTAGTTAAAAATAAAAAGCCCTTGTTGGTGTGGCTCAGTTGTTTGGGTGTCATCCCATGCACTGAACTGTTTCTGGTTCAATTCCCGGTCAGAGCACATACCTGGGTTGCGGGCTTGATGGTAGTAAAGATAGTGCAGGAGGCAGCCAATCAGTGTTCCCTCTCACATGATGTTTCTTTCCCTCTCTCTTCCTCTCTCTCTAAAAATCAATTAAAAAAATATATATATATATATATATTTTTTTTTTTAAAGAAGAAATAAAAGAAAGGATCAACTCTGTGACTTTGAGCAAGTCACTTCACCTCTTCCTATTTCGGTTTCTTCAATTCAGGGTCACCCAGTAGTTCAAATAAGATCACAGGCTTGCCCTGGCCAGTTTTTCTCAGCGGTTAGAGCGTTGGCCCGTGGACCAGTGAGTCACGGGTTCGATTCCGGCCAAGGGCACTTACCTCGGTTGTGGTTCATCCTCAGCCCTGATCAGGTCATGCGGGAGGCAACCAGTTGATGTGGCTCTATCACATTGATGTTTCTCTTTGTCTCTCTCCTTCTCCCTCCCTCCCACTCTATCTGGTGATAAATGGAAAAAGTATCCTCAGGTGAGGAATGAAAAAAAAAAAAAAGATCACAGGCTTCTCCCCACCCCCCAATAAAGAATTATCCAACCCAAAATGTTGATAGTGCCAGGGTTTAAAATGCTGTCTTGCCCTGGCCAGGTAGTTGGTTAGAGCATCCTCTTGATACACCAAGGTTGTGGATTTGATCCCCAGTCAGGGTACATTCAAGAATCGACTATTGTGAATGCATAAATAGGTGGAACAGTAAATCAATATCTCTCTCTCTCTCTCTCCCCCCTCCCCTCCCCTCCCCCTTCCTCTCTCTAAAATCAGTAACTAAAAATAAAAAAATAAAACACAACGATCTATTTGTTCAACAAACCCTGAGCCTCTGCTGTGTGCCAGACTCCAGCAGGGTGCTAAGGATAGGAAACAAAAATGAGCCAAACAGTCCATGACCAAACATTCACAGAAAAATCTCTCAAGCTGTTACGCTCTCAGTTTAGGGTTACAAGCGATTTGCTATTTCATGCAGTCTGGGAGTAGGGAGGAGGAACAAAATTAATTCTTCCTGGAATACTCACACAAAGTGGCTTAATAATTATTTATTGAATTATTTTCTTGAGTAAAAGTCTCCCAGAAGAGGTGATATTTAATCTGGGCCTTAAAAAGCTAAGCAGACATGCTAGGCAGGAAAGAAGGGAAGATCATTCTAGGTAGCAAGAATGGACCAAGCAAAAAGCAAGAAAGCAACAGAGCATAAAGTGGGGAATGGTGAGTAGAGCCTGGGATGAGCTAGCTGGAGAAGAATCCAGAAAGGTAGGTTGGGGTAGTGTGCAAAGGGGGCCTTGAATGCCCATTCTCCTGTGGGCAGTGGGGAACCATTTAAGATTTTCTGGCTGGGCATTGACGTGATCAGACCTGTGTTCTTTCTCCCAACCAGAAGAGCAGCAGAAGCAAAGACAAGAACCAGTGCTGCCCCATCTGTAACATGACCTTTTCCTCCCCTGTTGTGGCCCAGTCGCACTACCTGGGGAAGACCCACGCAAAGAACTTAAAGCTGAAGCAGCAATCCACTAAGGTGGAAGGTACTGGTTTTCCTGAGTAGTGCTATATCGGGACCCCCCCACCCCATCCAATGTCAGGTGTTCCCAGAAATGTTCACTGGGGCTACAGACTTGAAGAGGTTGAACTGCTTTGGGGAGCTCTTAAAAATATTAAAGTAGAACCAGCTTCACTGAAATGCAGCCTCAGAGTTGTGCTCACCTAACCTCCCTTTGGTTACATCAGTTTTTCTCTGTAGAAGCTTCTTAGCCCAGAGCTTTTGTTCTGACTAATAATGTAACTCAGGAGTGCTAAAGTCCTCCAGGCCATGCACACGGTGAGAGCATTCTACTTCCTACCTCTCCCATTTAAATTTTTCCCTCCCAGCATCCACCTGCCCTTATTATCATGTGTTCCAAGTGGAAAGCTAAAACCTTGTCTTTTTTGTGTGCTCAGGTTATGCCCTGCTCACTTTTATCCTCAAACTTGCCTTTTCTCAAAACAGGGACTTGCCTTTCAAAGCTGAATACTTCAGTGCTGCCACTGTTGCCCAGCAAGCTGTGTTTGCAACTGCTATGAATTCATTCCCAGTATAGTGACTTCTAAAGTAGCCCCCTTTATCTTGTCACCACTGGGACCCTTGATTTCATCTCATTAACTCCTGACTTTCTGGGATTGTTTAACCTCTGCTAACTGAAGTTAGTCAAGAGTGAAAGTTCTTTGATCTTTTTTATTTTTCTTGGTAATTTTTTGCTTCTCTCCTCATTTTGGACCAAGAAGTAGATTATACTATCTATACTACTTACTGTCCTTTTTTATATTATTGTATTATCAAAACAAGACAACAATATTTTAGAAGACTTTGAGGATAGAGTAAAAAAATTACTTATAATTTACCCTCTTATCACATCCAAATCTAGTTATTCATGCTGCGAAACAATAGAATATGGCCTTTGAACTCACAGACACTCAGGTTTAAATCTTAGTGCTGCTATTTACCATCTATATGACTTGACTTTTTCATGCCTGAGTTTCCTCTCCTATAAAATGTAGATAATGCCTTCTACATCATAGGTTATGAGGATGAAATAATATATATATAAGGAACCTGGGACATGACAGATGCCCAGTAAATGACAGCTGCTATTGTTAGTATTATCACCATCATTAAGATGGCCAGTGAGTGCAATTCAGTAGTTGCCCATCAAATGCAGTAGGCTGGGCAGACATCCACCACCTGGAGCCTAGTACTACTACTAATTACTTTTGTTAAAGTCAGTGTTGGTACAATTCATGGTACCAAAAAGATTAAACATTAGGCCAAGAGAAACCAGCTTAAGAACAGAACTTGATAAGGTCACTCACTTATATTTATGTGGATTTATCTCTCCATAAATGGGAATATTCCCTGGAATATGCCTGGTCCCCAAAATTCCATATTCAAGAAGTTATTTTCCATATCCAGTTATGGCCTTTGCCACATGCATATATGTTTTTATATAGTTGTAATCATCATGCATATATCCTGCTTCTATTTTTAATATTGTAGTTTAGGCACATTTTCCTGTTATTACATGAGTTTATAACTATATTTCTGAAATTAAACATTTTTAATGTAAAAGTAGTACATGTTGTAGAAAATATGGAAAATATAGATAAGTGGAAAGAAAAAGTACCCATAATTTTAACATTCAGAGATAACCATTGTTAACATTTTGTAGTATAGTTTCTCGCATAATCTTTTGCTATTTGTATGTATGTATATCTATGTGTATATCTGTTTTATGTTTATCTAGGTCGAATCTATGTATATGTAATATAAACATAGAATACTTTAAATAATCTTATTTTTATAAAAACAATGCATATTCATGAATAATTCTAGTTCCAACAATGCAAAAGGTACAAAGAGGAAAGTAAAATTTCACCCAAATTCTGCCACCAAGAGAAAAACACTTAATATGTTGGTGACAAGTCAAAATACCAGTACACACATATAAAGTGTGTATGTATCTTTTATTATATTGTGTGTGCAGTTTTCTTTTATACTCTTTTCATTTTAATATAACATTTATATTTCCTCATATTATTAAAAACTTTTTTGCCCTGCCAGTGTGGCTCAGTGGTTGAGCATCGACCCATGCACCAAGAGGTCACCAGTTTGATTCCCTGTCAGGGCACTTGCCCAGTGGGGGCCATGCAGGAGGCAGCTGATCCATGTTGATATTTCTCTGTCATCGATGTTTCTTTTTCCTTCTCCCTTTCTCTCTCTCTCAAATCAATTTAAAAATAAGTAAATAAAAAAAAACTTTTTCATAAACATTTTAATGACTATAAAATATCTTATCATACCACATTTACCCATTCCTCTAATGTTTTCCCCTCTTCCCTTTTTGGTATCCATAAATAACTCTATAACAAACATTCATATAGAATACTCTTTCCATATTTCAAGCTATTTCCTGAGAGAAGACTCCCATAGTTCTCATTTTTATTGTATGTCCATTAAAAGTTTCTTTAACTTTACTTAACCATTTGCCTCTGATGCTTCTCTCCAGTATATTTTAAAGTATGACCTTTCTGTCAAGCATTATCTCTTTTCTGATGTCAAAAATATACATTCATTGTAGAAAAGGTAGAAAATAATTAAAAGCACCCTTTTACTTTATCTATGCTTTTGGTCTTTTATCTATACATCACCGGTATGTTTTTGTTGTTGTTTTACAGAACTGAGGACATAAAAAACAGATTTATGTATAACCTTTTCTTTTTAACTCAACACCACATGCCGAATATTTTCTCTTATTATTAAATATTCTGCAACATGTATATTACTTTTCAAGTGACTTGTTGAAACAGTGGCGAGAGAAAATCAATAACCAGAGAAATTGAGATTCCCTATACTGGAAAATCACTGGGAAAAGCCAGCAAGTTTCTTCTGGCTTGCTAAATATTCTCAAAACCTCCCTCACTGAAGTGGTACCAGAATGAAAGAGCACCTCGGCCACCTGTGAGTGCTGCTGAGCCCCAATCTCCTCAACCCTTGGTGGGGGTTCTAGGCCGTATTTTTAAAGCAGTGCTTGCTAGATCCACACCATTCCAGCCATGTGGCCTCATTAGTGAGTCACTGCATCCACTTTATATCAATGTGTTCATACTAGCCTTCGATTAACGGAATTTACTGACCAAAGCCAGGGATTTTTCTGAAGGTGAAAGCATGAACTGTAGTCTTAAGTCTCCTTTCCACATCAGCAGCCTGGCAGAGCAAAGAAGGCATGGTCTTTAGGATCACACAGACCTGGGTTCCACTTTAGCTGGGTGGTCTCGGGCAAGTCATTTCACCTGTGAGCCTTGGTTTTTCTGTTAACGTAGCAAAATGATACCTAACTCATGGAGCAGTTCTGAGGACCAAAGGAGAAAATATATGTACAAAACACATAACTAAATGTCAGTGTCATCCTCTTCTCCCCACCTCAGCCCAGAAGGCAGTGTTGCCCAAAAGGCTTCCCAGTATAGTTGCCTTTTCTAAATGACCCTGTAGGCCCTCAGAGCTTCAGCTTCTACATCTGCACATTGCCTCCCAGATTCCAGTATGCTATGGGTACTGTGAGGATGGGAATAAAACACCCAAACTTTTTATCCACTTACTGTGAAGTGCTGGGGAATTCTGAAGGATAAAAAAACTGCAAGCATGTCTGTAAGCATCTCTAGTCTGTTGTCATTTGACAACTTGATAACAGAAGTGCAGAACCTCCTCAGAATGAGAAAATCAGGATTCATGTGCCTAAAGTAGTTAAAGCTGTTGAACAGAGTAGCTGCCCCAAATCTTTGCAGCTTTCTTCATCAGAGAAGGCTTTCACTGTGTGATTCACACCAGCAGGGCCACATGTGCAAGTGTGATTAACTAGTGACCAGCCTTCATTTGCAGTCAGCATACTCAGAAGCCCTGGCACCTTCTGGGTTTTTTCATTGTCTCTGTTTGAACTCTCTCACCGCAGCTCTGTCGAAACGCCTTACAAACCCTTTCCTTGTGGCCTCCACCTTAGCCTTGCACCAGAATAGAGAGATGATAGACCCAGACAAGTTCTGCAGCCTCTGCCACGCGACTTTCAACGATCCTGTCATGGCTCAACAACATTACGTGGGCAAGAAACACAGGAAACAGGAGACCAAACTCAAACTCATGGCACATTATGGGCGACTGGCAGACCCTGCTATCACCGACTCATCAGGTAAGGAATTCTGAGGGGCCCCAGCTCACACCCATAGCTGGATCAGGATTGGACCACCAAGGCTATGCTTTTCCTCCTTAGATCTCTCAGGGCAGACATGGCAAACTCAAATGCCTACAGAAGCCAGATAGGAAATTTAAGTAAGGAAAAGAGCCAGGAGGGGATATGGTCCACTGAAGAGTGGCTTCTCCTAGCCAGCTCTAGCCAATTATTACCGTATCAGTTTTTCAAAAGAATCTAGAAGCCAGATTTGAATAAGAATTCTCCTTAGTGCCCTGGCCGGTTTGGCTCAGAGGATAGAGCATCAGCCGGCGGACCAGAGAGACCTGGGTTCAGTTCCCACTAAGAGCATGTACCTCGGTTGCAGTTTGTCCCCAGCCCTGGTTGAGGTCGTTTGGGTGGTAACCAGTTGATGGGTCTCTCTGGTGTCGATGTTTTTTTCTCTCTCTCTTACTCCCTCCCACTCTATCTGAAGATAAACGCAAAAATGTCTTCTGGTGAGGATTTAAAAAAAAAAGAATTCTCCTTATTTTTAAATGTGCAACTAAAAGTTTAAAACGTTAAACCCTGTTACAGACTGACAATCCCCATAAGAGGGGGTGGTAGGGAGAGATAAACCACAGAACTTATATACATGTATGCATGAACAATGGACATGGACAACAAAGCTGGGGACAGGTAGGGGTATCAGTGGGGGGAAATGAAGAAACATCTGTAACAAAAATAAATTTTTTTTAAAAAGTTAAAAATAAAAAGAATAAATAAATAAAATGTTAAACCCTGTGAGATTTGAGCCAAGGGCCACTACTTTGCAGCCTCTGATTTAAACTCCCTGTCGTCCACATTCCTTGTGTGAAGGTCTCAGCAACTGCCAGATTTTAGAGTGTCCCTAGGGCCTCTCCTTTTTCCAGCAGCTGAGGCCTACCTATATTCCTGGGATAACATGGTAAAGATCATTCTGACTCAGAATATTAGCTACTCCCTTGCCCTGCCAGTGTGGCTCAGTGGTTGAGCATCGAACCATGCACCAGGAGGCCTGCTGGTTCAGGACACGTGCCCCGGTTGTGGGCCAAATCACCAGTGGAGGGCATGCAGGAGGTGGCAGATTTTTGTTCTCCCTCATCGATGTTTCTATCTCCCTCTCCCTTCCTCTCTCTCTAAAAATCAATTTAAAAAAGGGGAAAAATTTTTTTTAATAAAAAAAGAATATTAACTACTCCCCAGACTTCAGGATGCCTGCTCATCAGCATCACAGAAGTGAACATTCACAAAAAGTTAGGAGCCCTTTTCATCACAGTAACTACTCACTGCCTATAGTAAGGGAGGGGAAGAGAAGAGAGATTATTTTTGCATTCAGCCAGTCATTATTTATTGAGCACCTACTGTGTTTCTTCACTGAGGTACAGTAGTGACCAAAACTGACACAATTCCTATCTCATGTAGCCTATGTGAACATTGGTGTTGATCCTCAGGGTTTCCTCCCCAGGCCATGTAGATCTAGCACCAGGTAGTCAACACTGAGGCCTTCATGGCATCCAGGTACCAACAACTTGGCCTCAGGGAAACTGCTCCTCAGTGTCATCTGTGCTCTTCCCATAGTGCTGGAGAGGTGAACACACAGATGTCTTAGATGTTCCAGAGCACATATGGGCAAGGGGAGGGATCATGGCTCTCTAACAACCCTCCCAACCCCAAGGCAGCTGTACAGCACAGGTTGTTCTTGGGCAATACTGACACAAATGAAAAGGATGTGAAGCAGTGGCTATAAAGCAAGGTGGGCAACTCTTGAGCAGGGTGCCAAGGATTGTTCCTCTAAAGCCATTGAAGAACCCCACTTTACAAACTTCTTCAAAATTGGAGGCCTGACCCATGTGGCTCAGTTGGTTGATCATAGTCCCATGCACCAAAAGGTTTGATTCCCCATCAGGGTACATGCCCAGGTTGCGGGCTCAATCCCCAGTAGGGGGTGTGTAGGAGGCAGCCAATTAATGTTCTGCTCTCACATTGATATTTCTTTTTCTTTCTCCTTCCCCCATCCTCTCTCACTAAAAATAAGTAAAAATAAAAATAAAATAAAGTAAGACAAATTTGGAAAGGGGTCGCTGATATTCACTTACCATTCCCACATACAGGCAGTGCCTTCCCTTTTAATAGGATCAGTTTTACCTACTGAGACTCTGGAAACCTCAGAACCAAATTTATTAGAACCCTGCTTCACAACATCCTCCTATTTTGGCCTGTGACTGATAGGAACAACATAACACCCAGCTGATATAACGCCAGGGTCTCTTGCAGCTTTGTTCTAGCTCCTGGTCCTCCTGGGGCCCTCCCCTGGTTATTCCTCATTATCTCTTGTCAACTGACAGAACTCAGGCATTGCAATATTTTGGGCTGCTTATCTTACCTTGTATTCATTCTGTTCTTTTATCTCAAGCCAAAGCCTTCTTTCTGTATCCACACTCCTCCATTTGTCTAAATTATATATGTAATCCTAGAACTGTAGTCCTGATCTTTTTTTTCTTGCTTAAGGCATCTGTTTTAAAGGTCAGCTAAAATCTTTCATGAGAACCTGGGCAAAGGAGTAGGGGCATCACATGCCCCTTTATATTAATATATACATTATAACTTAATCTCCACAGGATTCCTATAAATAGGCATGGTTTTCCCATTTCACAAATAAAATAGATGAGACTTAAAGTGACTTACTCAAGGACATACAGCTGATATGACCTGATGTTAATCAGTGGCAAGATCAGTATAGCTCTGGCTCAAAACCTTCCTTCTGCCTCCAGCTCTGAGCGTAGTTAGCAGGCTTTTTGAGTACAGGCCAGCAGAGGTACTGAGCCCACCCTGACCTCTTACTCATGGAGATGGGATGTTGGCCTAAGATATGCAGGCAGTGACTTCAACTGTCAGGTTCTGCCTTAGCAAAGGATTAGGTTTGTTAGCAGCTTGACTTCTCTGCTGGCTTCAATTCAGTGGAAGCCTCTTTGTTTATTCCTTTGTTCGTTCATTCGTTCAGTCAGTCATCCTGCATTTACTGATGGCTGTTGTTGTCCAGGCCTTAGACTAGATGCTGTCCCATGTAATTACCTGATTTAATTCTCACAACTATGTTGTGCAAGTTTTATTATCCTCATTTTATGAATGAAGACATTAGGGTCAGAAAGATGAAGTAATTTGTCCTGGGCCCCTATACTAGGCAGCAGCAAAGTGAGCACTGAAACAGGTCAAGTTCTGTGTTGGGTCCAGAGACTAGTTCCCATGGGGCTCCTGGCAAGTATCTCGTGACATTTTGGGTCAAATGTTAGATGACCCAGAGTATCTGGGTGTCTCCCACCAGGGATAGATGCGCCATCTTCCAAGCAGATCAAACAAGATTTGGAGTTTGCTTGATACCTCCAGGCTCACATTTCTTTCATTTACCCAAGAACTAAAACTAAAACCTGCATATTATTCAGGCAGCCAAATCCTTCCAACCTCCAGAGCACTCAGTATCCCCTCTAGATTACTGCAATCCTCTGCTTCACCCCATCACATTCTCTCCCTACTTCTGGCCTTGCCTCCTACACAGAATAGGTCTACTTTCTCTGCCCCATGCTGATCCCTCAGTTTCTTCAACCCCTATGCATAGGACAGATTTCCAGGGGGGTTTTTTGTTGTTGTTTTTTTACTTTTTTCTTTTTAATCCTCACCCAAAGATATTTTTCTGTTTATCTTCAGATAGAGTGGGAAGGAAAGAGAGAGAAACATAGATGTGAGAGAGACACATCGATTAGCTGCCAGCTGGGGCTGGGGTCGAACTGCAACTGAAGTATGTGCCCTTGGCCAGAATCGAACATAGGACTCTTTGGTCCACAGGCTGATGCTCTAATCGCTGAGCCAAACTGGGCAGGACGGTTTTCAGGTCTTATAAAACTCATTATATAGTCAATAAATACTTGTTATCACTTTCCTAATATGTGCCAGGCATTGCGTATATGGTGGCAAACAAGAGTATTGTCCAAGTGCTCATGGAACTTAAGAGTCTACAGAGAAGATAGGCATTGAGCAAATAACAAGTGCGATAAGCTTTAGAACAAGAAATAAATGGATACTTTGGAGATAACCTAATAGCAGGGATCAAGGAAGGCTTCCCAGAGGGCAGGGGGGATATGTGGAGCAAAATGATGCTGAAGAGATGAGCAAGTGTCCATTCATGACATTGTGGGTCATATTAAGGATTTGGACTTTTATCCTAAGAGCACTGGGAAGTCATTGACAGTTTAAGCATTATTCGATCATTCTGTTACAAAGTGAAGAATGGTTTGGAATAGGGAGGAAGGGTAGTGGGGAAAGAACAGCAGTGATGCTATTGTAGTAATTCATATTGCAGAAGACAGGAATTTGGACTAAGGTAGCAGTGGGGGAGGTAGAAGTAGATGGATTCAAGATGTATTTAGGAAGTAGAATTGTCAGGACTTGGCCATCAAATATGAGAGATGAAAGATAGGGAATAGTCAAGAATGGTACCTAGATTGAGTCTTTTTTTTTTTTAATTTTCTTTCTTTATTGATTTGAGAGAGAAAGGAAGGGAGAAGGAAAGCGAAATAGAAACATCGATGAGAGAGAACATCGATTGGTCACCTCCTGCATGCCCCGACTTAGGATTTGGCCCACAACCTGGGCATGTGCCCTGACTGGAAATCGAACCAGTGACCTCTTGGTACATAGGTCGATGCTCAACCACTGAGCTACACTGGCTAGGCCCTTGATTTAGTCTTAAGCAACTGGTAGATAACCAGGTTTTGTTGGTTTGAGTTTAAGATGCCCATGAGAGCCTGGCCAGTGTGGCTCAGTGGATTAAATGTCGTCCCACAGACTGAGGCCCAGTTTGATTCCCAGTCAGGGCACATGCCTGGATTGCGGGCTCAATCCTGTAGAATGAATACAGGAGGCAGCCAATCGATGTTTCTCTTTCACATCGATGTTTCTCTCTTCCTTCCTCTTAAAAAAAATAA